TAATATTGTCCCTTGTGCCTCTGTGAGAATCGCCCATTGTGAGAAGAACCATAGTTGAAATTGTATAAGACAATGAGAGAGTTTGTATCAGAGAGTGAGATGATTGTTGATGCGAAACAAGTATATGAGGCATTGCATTTATAGGCGAAATTGTATCAGAGAGTGAATAAATGAGGTGGTTGGTGGTTGCATGTATGCATGATACATATCACTCATGCGCTAAGTCAAATGGCGCCTACATGTAATTTAGAGAGCACGCACCATTCAACTTGGCGTGGGACAGACCTAGTTGTAGCATAAGTGGCAGCATAGGTGGCAGACATAGGTTGCAGCGTAGGTGCAGGCTAGGGGAAGGCTTTCCTGCATGCATGTAATATAATTGGACATGTAGGGAGGCACCATTTGACTTGGAGAATGAGTACAAAATTGAAAGGTGCCTCCATCCCAATTGGAAAATTAGTGGTGGCATAGGTTGCAGCGTAGGTGCAGGCTAGAGGAAGGCTTTTCTGCATGCATGTAATATGATTGGACATGTAGGGAGGCGCCATTTGACTTGGAGAGTGAGTACAAAATTGAAAGGTGTTGCCATCCCAATTGGCGAATTAGTGGTGGCATAGGTTGTAGGCTAGGTACAGGCTAGGGGAAGGCTTTTTTGCATGCATGTAATATGATTGGACATGTAGGGAGGCGAATTAGTGGTTGTTTACTGTTGTATTGTTCAAATTCAATGCAACCTATTTAATCTTACATGTATCAAAACTCTTCTACACTCAATCACTCAAACACTCGAATATTCAAACATTCAAACAATCAGACACTCAAACACTCAAACCTTCAAACATTCAAATACAATGATCTCTACACCACAATACATTATCAGTGTAAATTTCAACAGTGAGACGTACATTTATCCCACCTCTGGGTTTTTGTTTAGAGACACTGAGAACATTCGATTTTGTTTAAACAGGAAATCCAATTTCTTGTATTTCAAAAAACAATTGGAGGTAAACTTGGACGAGGTCCCGTGACACAAATCTTCTATCAAAATCCGGTTTTTTTGTGAGAACCAAATAATATATTATAAGATAGAGATTCAAGATGATGAGGACCTTCAGAATATGTTTTCCAGTCATGAGTATTTTGGGTACGACTCTTTTGAGTTGTACATTGTGTTGCGGGAGCCTCAGCTGTCACAGCCAACTCAGTCACAAGTGATTGATCCTCTCGAAGACGAACAAGGAGAAGTAGATATCATTGACGAAGAAGAGGAAAATGACGAGTTAGAGTTTGACGACATGGACAACAATGATTCTGAAGACGATGGGATACCTGGAATGCCTCTGAATGAGATCTACACACCACCTCCACACATGACAAACTTCAACATGGGCGGAGATGAACCTTCATCTGATGTTTTTTTCAATTCGTATATGCAGTCGGATGAAAACTTAAAAGAGAAAAACAAATTTCGTAATAGAGAAGATTGTATTCGAGCCATAAAAAAGTTTCACATGCTAAACTCATTCGATTTAAAGGTAGATCGTGTAAATCCAGAAAGGTACAAGCTCAGGTGTATTCACTCAGATTGCATGTTCAGACTCATTGCATCATACAGGTTAAGAGGTGATTGTTTGGTGATAGGTTTTATATCCACCCACACGTGCGTCAATTCTACTCAATCACAGGATCATCGAAAACTAAATTATGATCTCATATGTCAAGAAATCCTACCTCTTGTCAGCAATGATTCGTTATTAAAGGTGAAAACCATAATCTCTCACATCACTATGATATACAACTATACTCTGTCATACCGAAAGGCGTGGTTATCAAAGACCAAGGCGATTGAAAAGGTATATGGAAATTGAGAGGAGTCATACAAAGAACTTTTGTGCTACCTGCATGCACTTCAGACGTATTCTCCGGGTACTATTTATGTTATGGAAATATTGTTGGCGTACGCCCCAGATGGTACTCATGTCACCGGAAATGGAATATTCAGTCGAGTGTTATGGGCTTTTCAACCTTGCATCACAGGGTTTGTGTCATGCAAACCTATTATTCAAATTGAAAGGACTTGGTTGTACGGGAAATACAAAGGCACGCTACTGATGGCAGTTGCACAAGATGGAAACAATAACATTTTCCCAATTGTCTTTGCTCTAGTCGACGGAGAGATTGATGGTGCTTGGATTTTCTTTCTCAGGAATCTCCAAACACACATGGCTCCTCAACCTGATCTTTGTTTGATCTCCGATAGACGTGCATCTATTGAGAGTGCATACAATAATCCTGTAAACCATTGGCATGACCCTCCTTCTACGCATGTCTACTACGTTAGACATATCATACAAAATTTTACGAGGGAGATCAAAGACAAGGCTCTTAGGAAAACAGTTATGCATTAACACAACCTACGTTCAAATATTATCGCAACAAGATCAGATTGTCAAATCCGGATGCAGGTAGGTGGATCGATAATATTTCGGTCGAGAAATGGACAAGGTCATACGACAATGGACAATGATGGAGCCACATAACAATAAATCTTATTGAATCCATGAACGGTGTATTCAAAGGCATACGAAACCTCCTAGTAACCGCTTTGGTTAAATCAATATATTTTAGGATGGCTTCGTTGTTTTCCAAAAGAGGTGAAATATGGAATGCGGTCTTACAATCGGGACAACTATGGAGTGAAAATTGCATGAAGTATATTAAGGCAGAAAGTGTCAAAGCCAACACCCATCTGGTTATAAGGTTCGACCGACACAGCCACAACTTCATTGTCAAAGAGACAATCGACCACAACGAGGGGCTGCCAAGACAAGAGTATAGGATTATACTACCATCTAGTTGGTGTGATTGTGATAAGTTTCAAGTCTTTCGTATGTCTTGCTCTCATGTCATTGCGGCATGTGCGTATACTCATCAAGACGCATTACAACTTCTATCTCCCATTTACAAGTCTGAAATCTCGCTCGACGTATACAACAAAGACTTCTCATTGGTAGCGAAACCTGATTATTGGCCTGTATACGATGGGGAAATAGTATGACACAATGATCAAATGCGAAGGAATAAAAAGGGTCGTCCCAAAAGCAAACGTATGACAACTGAAATGGACTTCCTTGACAAGCTAGAAAGAAAGTGTGATTTATGTCGTCAGGTCGGACACAATCGAAAAAATTGTCTCACTCGGGCTACAAGCTCAACAACATAAAAATTATATGCAAAACATCTACACTTTTTAAGTTCTAAACATTATTGTTTTTCATTAAGAGCATTTGTTACAACAAACCATACGCAAACAACAAATAAAAACACGATAAAACGTCTAAGAAATTACACCCGTCAAAACAATTTCATCTGAGCCATGCATCATCACCATTACGTCTCCGTCTGTTTTGACTTCCTCTAACCAAAAATTAAGTCTTTCAGTTGCAAGTGAGGTGGATGTTCTTCTTCTATGGATCCTTCTAATTTGTTCCCCATCTTCGATGTCTCCCTCTAGTCATCGCATTAACTCTCTCTTCAGACGCTCTATGGAGTAAAAAAAATCATTTTCATTGGAGATTTGGTGGCCGAGAAAATAACGTATTCATCTCTAGTGAAAATCAAGGGAGATGTCATGACACAAATAATAGAGGGAAAAAATAAGAAGACAACACGAGAACGTATGAAGAATGACGGAGAAATGAGTGATTTATTTATAAAAAATACAATTGCACGTAGTAGTCAAGTGAGATGGCGTCTTCTCTCCTTTTTATAGTGCATGTATCTTTTCATTTGGCTAAAATAGAGAGCATGTACCAAGTGAGATAGCACCTAAGGTAAAAAGCTAGGTGTATGCGTCAAGTGAGATGGCACCTAAGGTAAAAAGTTAGGTGTATGCGCCAACTCAATTGACTCCTCCATTCTAAGATTTTCTGAAACATAGTTATTTGCGTAATTTTTTTCAAAACATAATTATTTGTGTATTTTTTTTCAATACCTAGTTATTGCTAAAAAACAATTCCACATTTGTTCGTTGACAAATTGGGAATTAAGAAAAATGTGAAGTGTGAGGTTTAATTTGAAGGGTGACAGGTAGTAAGTTGGGCTAGAAAATTTGGGTTTAGTTGACAGCTCTAGTAAGGAGTTTTGTTCTTCATTCGGCATTTTAAAATTGAAAGCATATGGTTAAGCTATCCAGTAGTAAGAAAGTACCACCTCTTTTAAAATTGAATAGCATTTGGTGATGATGATAGTATTATTATTTTTGGTAGGTGATGAAGACAGTATTTATGGCATGAGAGGGACCAACATTTTATGCCCACCATGTTGTATCCGACATGCAGTGTTGTTACCGTGACCATGAAGAATGTGCCAAAAAATGCTATCATACACCAATATTAATGTGACATGTTACTTCAATCTCAAAAAAGAAAATCCAAACCTTGACATTGTTTTGGATTTTGTTGTAAATGATAAAGGACAGGATTATGAGACTTCTTCAAAAACTATGAAGCAACAAAAGCAGGCAGGTAAGTACATTCTCAAAACCAAAGCCATCAAACAGAAACAACTAGATAGTTGCATCTAAAGTTCCTCGTCTACGAACTCACGACCAAAAAAGATAAATCGGTTTACAAACTAACACAAAAAATACAACATAACTTCCATGTTTGTCAAATACAATGCATACAACTCACAACAACAAACAACAATATATACAATACAAGAGAGAAGGGGGAGAGAGAGAGAGAGAGAGAGACTTTGAAGCCAAGTTGGACTAAATAAAGCAGAGAAGAGAGAATATTGCTTATATCAGACCTGCGGTATTGTGTGGCCAATTCCAATCAGCTAACACCTGCCATGTAAAATCAGCAACTACGTTATTGTTAAATCGAATCGAATACTTCAATGTTATTGAACTTTATTTTTAAAAAATTATTCAGATACTAAGTGATATTATTCTATCAGTGGTAAGAATGTGTGCCTTTTAGTTGTTGCAGCAATCATTCGCAAGCAATCTTGGTGTCGAAGCTGCTAAGGCATATTGCAAATGCTTCAAAGGCGGAGATTGGATACTGGTAATCCATGGTGAATACATCCTTTCCAACTTTTCCAAACTGTAGAATAACATTTTCTTGGGCCTGCTCAGAAACTCCATTTCTAGGAGAAGCGACCAGTTGGAAATTTTTAACTGAGGCAACTGTCACACGTCCGTTGAAGTTCAAACACCAGCATTGGAGTTGTTCGTGCCACCTAGGAGCCTTGTTTCTTAACACCAGCATTCCATCATCTTGACTAGTCAAAGGTACTACGGATTGAAGATTCTCTGTGCGGGTTGATTTTGATCTGAAGAATGGAATAGATGGAGAAGTATCATTTCTGCTGTGAAGAAAATGTGTCTGTGTCGGGGCCTCGCCTCCAGGTTCAACAGCTGTGGCAGGGATGGAATCCATAACACATTGCATTATCCTAGGTCCCCTGTTAACATATTTTTAACTATCTTGTAGTTATTCTAAAAAATATCATAAACTGGGAAATAGAGCCAACTCTTGAAAGCAAACTGGGAAACAATCAATATCATAGAAAAAGTCAACAGGATTTTCATCTGATGATTTCTAGACCACGATATACTCTTTACCCAAAAGAGAGACATGTTAGTAAAAACAACTAATTACCTAGAGCCCAAAACATTCAGATCATATGAGACATGCACGAAGGGATAGTTGCCAGCAGGAACTCTTGGAGACACTTGCTTGAGACTAACTAGCTTGGTGGAACGAGACTTTGCAACTTTGGCTCCATAAATTGGAGGGTGTGCATCATACACGGTAAATTTGGTGCCCAGAAAGTTTGATCTGGTAAAAATTATTTTAGGCCTAGAAGATGATAAATTAACAATTAACAAGTCGTGTTATAATCTCAACTAAAATACCTCAATTTCCCAACGTAGGTGCTACTCCCTCTTGATACATCATCAAGGTTTAGAGAAATGATATAGTCGGTGTGGGTTGCACGCCGACACTTGCGTGCAGAAAGAAGGAACTTGCCGTCATCAGTTGAGGCTGCAAAATGAAATCAACATTAAAATGCGTGAAAGGTCATATAGAAAAAGAGATGGGGGATATTTCTTAATATTATACTATGCTGCAAGGTAAAATTAGAATATATGACTGCTAGTCCAACCCATGTGTCACAAAGTTTAGAAAGCATTGTACCAAACATATTAAATTTGAATCTTTGGTAGCACTCACCTTGGTTTAAACATAGAAAAAGATAATATGTTTGGCTGTTACGATTTCGTTTGATATAGCACTGAATGAGAGAGTCCCTTGGACCAGGCTGCATGATGAAAATAGTAAGTCAATTATAGCTTGGGAATGAAAAGGGGACTGTTAATAAAAGTAATGGCCTTCCTAGCAATAAATTAAGAACTTTATAATACCACACCACCAATAAAAAATTTCAGAAATAGTAGATTACGACGAATATTTTTAGTCAAAGCACGAGCAAAGCAACTTCCATGCCTTCATCAACTACAATGGTATGTAGTACAAATTTGTTCTACTAATATTACAGAATATAGCCAATCCTATCAAGTCTGGTGTTTTGATGTAGATACATTTGTGTTTCCTTTGTGTGTTAAGAAAGAAACTAAAATTAGTTTCATGCTTAAACTCAAAATTTTAATTGGAGATTGTTTCCCCAGTTCAACAAAAGTTGATAAAGAAAATACACAAGTACAGACATCATACACACATTAGGAAAATCTTTGCATCATGGTAGAAAAAGTAGTATCGAAATTCAACGCTTATTTCAAGTTACAAGCTATACATGTCATGATGTTTAGTATTAAACATTGTTTCAATTGCTGCTCGGGTAAAATATTTGTTCAAATTCTTTTAAGCTACACTGCTATAGCTGCTATTTGACAACACTTAGTCCTAAATAGTGTATCGCAGAACAAAACGGCTTGTTCAAATCCTGCTGCACTATAGCACCAATAGAGCCAGTTTTGGGCAACACTGGTGTCAAAAGTTTATTTATAGTCACCATGAGTACACTAAAACATGAGTTTACTCACCATGAACATACTAAACCATGTTCACACATGAGTAATGTTATTTGCATGTTACTTTATCACCACAATCACATTCAATATTGTTAAGATATCTCACTTAAACAATAACATGAAGAGTCATTAAACAGGCAAGGCAATGAGTGCCATTAATCACAAGAAAATTGAAGGAAGCAGCTTCCATGTTTCATAAACTTATAACTAATATTGAACAATTTCATTTACAAAAGTGTTCCAAACCAACAATCATTCTCACTCTCTCACAAACTCAATGTCTTCGAGTAAGGTGTACCTACCCACCAGACATACACAACACCCAAAGTAAACAACCCATCTCTCAACCATACCAGCTCAACAAATATGGGTTTTATTGGTTGTAAGAGCAGCATCATACAGTAAACAAACAACATTTGTAAAACATCAAAACTAATCAGCCTTTCTTTAGTCCTCAAAATCACACATACTATTGAAGAATATAATGATACGTCAGCTCAAAAGGATGTCTAGTCAATCACAAAGCTCTCTGAGCTTAATTCAAGAGACTATAAATCTCAACAAAAGAACAGTAGCAAATTCGCAGCTGAAAAAATAAAGACAAATCGAGATGGTGGGTGACAAGTGCTACCTGCTTCAAGGAGATAGGGAATGTCAACTTGCTGGATATTTGAGGAGGTTTGACAATTTCCCTCATGAGTTCTCTCCAACTCCGACAAACACCAGCGCATGCAACAACATTTTTACGGGCCGGCCAAGCATCATCCGAAGTTTCAATTCTCATAAGCACATCTCTCAAAAGCTCAGAAGGCATGTTAGCCCAACAACTCTGCTTCAATCCATCAACCACCAAAGAACTATCGGTAACATCAACATCACAGTGTGACTGTGATTTTGATCTCATACCATACCCAAATTTCATCTCAAATCCCTTCCTATCCATAATCATACTCCTAAAAGACATCTAAACCCAATTTCTAAATTCCTCAACCCAACCCAAATTCTAAATTCTACTAAACTACCCAAGTCATCTAAACCATGATCTGATACATAAAGATTCAACTTTTAGCAGAAAAATCTCGTTTTGTCCGAGAACTAGGAGTAACCAGAATTGCATGTTCAAAATTTAACTTACATTAGGGAGAATTTTGCAAATTGAAACTGAAGCAATATAAATGAAAAATCAAGTAATCAAACCAAGAAATTGGAAGAAAAAGGCATGGATTTGTTTCCCTTGTTCCATGAGAGTGATGTGTAGATCAAGAATTGAATTGGAAGTTGAAGCAGAGAGTGAGATGGAAATGAGAGATGGCAAAGTAAAGTGAGAAACTGAAATGGGTAGAGCAGGGAGGAATGTCACTATGTGACGAGGGAAATGAAGTTGTGTGGGCTTCTTGGGTTGGAACTTATCCAATGGGTTTGGTTGTACCAACCAAATCTCTACCCAACAGGGAAATGCTCTTTCCACTTTATATGTATATACAACCTCTTTGAAAATTTGTAAAAATTTGTAATTGCACTTCATGCATCTTAAGATGCATTTTTGGACGCACTTAAAATCACGTCAATGATTTATTTTTTGAGTTTCATCCCAGATTTAAAAAAATAATAATGTTCGGAAATGCATCTTTGTATATTGTTTGGGTGTATCTAGAGATGCATCTCTGAAATACTCTTTGCACTCATTTATGTGGTTTTGTTATTCTACATCCCAGAAATATTAGTTCTAAAATCGGGTCATAAATTCGTCTGGGAAGGGAATTAAGCAAGTATATACAGCCTATAGGGATAAAGGAGTATTAGGGTCGAGTTCTAACTCGACTAAGGGTCAAGGCCGGTAGTCATTGTACCCGAGGAGCAGCCCGTCTGTGTTACCAACTCGGATATCGCACGTAACCGGAGTTCAATTGTTCGTAGCCGGCTGGAAACATGGCCCATTAATGATTGTAACGACTATCGACGCATTCATACCAACGTTATGCTGGCGACGACGGCAGTAATACGGTTCAGAAGTCAAAGAGTCACCTCTTGAATTAGGCTCTTAATGGAGTAACATGAAGACTATTTAAGGGGTTTCCTCCAGAGGAATAAGCAAGATATTTACTCTTTAGTGCATACGAACACCATCGTGCCACTCGAATCCCCCAAAATCATCATATATTGAGACTCTCATTATCCCTACAAGGAAGTTACCCAGTTTAGTGTTTTTCGCAAGAACATTTGGTACCCATCGTGGGGCCTCGGGAAAACTTTCTCAGGCCACACATCACATTCCGAAGAATTTCCACTGATTCCTCCAGACATGGTATAGCTACTGGCCATGGTGGACGCTCTCCGGCAACAAAATGAAATATTGTAGAACAATGTGCAAATCCTGCAACAGCAAGCACAACAGATGGGGAACAGAAAGAAGAGATTCTTGAGCCCCAATCGCTCTCACAAGCAATATGGGACGACCAAGTTCCCGAAAACTTCAAGGCACCGTCGCTCACATATTTTGATGGCAAAACCGATCCCCAGGAGCATATTATCACCGTCAACAATCAAATGAAGATAGTAGGGGCCTCTGACTCGTTAAAGTGCAAAGTCATGGCGAGCACTTTGAAAGATATGGCTCTGAGGTGGTACACGAGCCTTCCTCGACTATGTGTGGTGAGCTATCAGGACTTAACCAAAAATTGGTGCAACACTTCTCGGCGAACAGACACCAGAAGGTTTCAACAACTACCCTGTTCAATGTTCGACATGGGCATGTGGAATCTCTAAGGGGGTACTTGGCCAGATTCAATGAAGAAACCATAAAAGTTTCACACTCCAACCAAGAGTTATTCATTGGAGCATTCCAACATGGTCTTCGAGCCAGACAATTCAATGAATCTCTGGCCCAAAAGCTGGCGTCCAGCATGGATGAAATTATCACCAGAGTCGAGTGTTACATCAAAGGAGAAGAAAGCAACTAGGAGAAGTGGTCTAGAGACACCACCGAAAAAGAAGAAAAGTAAGGAGGAAGGGTCGGGATGCAGAAGAGAGCATCCTTGGTCATATGACCAAACCGCTTCAAGGCCATACCGACGACCCCTCGATGTTGAGGATGACCTAACGCCACTGAATACCAGAAGAGGAATTATTCTGAAAGAAGTAGGTCATCTGAATCTGATACCCGAGATGGGACGTCCAAGAAAAGTGAACATCGTACTAGGGAAAGACTATGGAGCTTGGTGCAGCTATCACCGGCTCTATGGTCACCACACTGACGACTGCCATCAACTCAAAAAAGAGATTGAAGCATTAATACAGAGATGACAACTCTTGACATATGTGAAAGATTCCAAGTCACAATCTGGAAAAAGAAGTCCCCATAGAGACAACCCCAACTCGGAAAGTTCCTCGCATAAAAAAGGAAAAGATATCGAAGAAGAGCATGAATTAAAAACTTCCTGGCATACACTTAACACGATCACTGGAGAATTCGTCGTAGGTGGAGAGACTAGCTCGGCCAGGAAGAGGTACGCCCGGACTATCATGCACATCACCTAGGAGTCGTTCGAGGGGCGGGAAGGTGACCTAAATTTCGTCAGTTTTTCTAAACGAGATTCCATCAGAGTCCCGGCCCACAAGAATGCTCTGATGGTGATAAAAGTACAAATCTGTGATTGGAGTATAAAGAGATTTCTGGTGGATCCCGGAAGCTCAACTGATGTGCTCTATTGGGATGCCTTTAAAGGAATGGATTTCGATACAACTGAGCTGCTATCATCTAAAGGCTGCTTGGTTTGGTTCTTAGGGGGACATCCATGTGCTCGGACACTTGTCTTTTCTAACCACCTTAGGCAATGAGGCAAATGCAAAAACAATTCGGGTAAGATATTTAATCGTCAATGCCGCATCCCCTTACAAGCATTTTCAACCTTATACCTCACTATGAAATACCCAATGGGAGAGGGTCGATATGGTATAGTCAAAGGTGATCAAGGCCTAGCAAGGAAGTATTATAAAGACAGTTTGAAATTGAGAAAGAAGAGCCCAACAGGAAGTGCCGAATAGTCCAATAACGTCAAAGTCCATCTCGTCAATATAGATCCTCGGGAAGATCCAACCGAGGATGGTTTAACACCTAATGAGGAGACCAAGAAGATTCAAATCGGTCATATACCCTCTGAGATCACACCATCAGTGCTAACTTATCTATGGAAGAAGAGAACGAGATCATAAAGACTCTAAAGGAGAATGTATACTTATTCACCTGGAAACCATCAGGCATGCCAAGGATAGACCTCAACATTATGTGTCACCACCTGGCCTTAGATCTTGACATAAGACCGGTATCTCAGAGAAAGCGGAAAGGGTTTGAGGAAAAAAGAAAAGTTATTACAGATGAAGTTGAAAATTTGCTCCAAGTAGGGATCATCAAAGAAATCAAGTATCTAACATAGTTGTCCAATAAGGTGGTGGTCAATAAGAAATCAGGAAAGTGGTGCATGTGTGTTGATTTCACCGACCTCAATAAAGCCCGTCCCAAAGATTTGTACTCGTTACCCAATATTAATCGCCGCATAAATGGGGCTTCCAGGTTCAGACTGCTCAATTTCATGGATGCTTATTATGGGTATAACCAAATCTGGATGAGCCCGATAGACGCTCTGAAAATGGTTTTCATGACCAACCAGAGCAACTATTACTATGATGTGATGCCATTTTGTCTTAAAAATACAAGGGCCGCCTACCAGAGACTGATGGACAAAGTGTTTGCCACACAAATCGGTAGGAACTTAGAGGTATATGTAGATGACATGGTCGTCAAAACGACAGCAGAACAGCGCCACGTCAAAGATTTAGCATAAATATTCACCTCAATAAGAAGCTACAATATGAGGTTGAAGCGGGATAAATGTACTTTTTAGGTACAAGTCAGAAAATTCCTCAGGTTCACACTCACTAACCGGGGAATTGAAGCTAATTCAGACAAATGAAAGGAGATCATAAACATGATAAGCCCATCCTCTAAGAAAGAGGTCAAGTAATTGATGGGACGGCTTACAACTTTATCTCGTTTCTTATCTTGCATATGGGATGAATCAATACACTTTTTTGTGACTGTGATACGGTGGCAGAACCGACTGTTTATACTAGTTTTTCATTTTGTATTCGCAAATGTTGTGGTAAGCAAGAGTCGCCACCTACTTTTCTTTTATCCAAATTAAGGAAAGGGTGAAAAGAACAGAAAAAGACCTTTTCGAGAATTTTCTAAGTAAGGGGGGTAGATTACGGAAAGGGAAAGTGTTAGCACCCTTTCCATCCATAGTTTTCTACGGGCTCTTAGATGCTTAGCTCATGTTTTGAAAATTGCTTGTGCTTTGTGTGTTTTGAAAAATCATTTTGAAAATGCCTTAGTGCGGCGATTCGCTTTATGATAACTCTTGTATCAGTCCTCAAGAGTGTTAACAAAGCGAATGTTTTTGAAAGTGTTTTGAAATGTTTTGTGTAAGTGTGGAAGTTTTGTTTTTGAGCAAGCATCTATGAACTATCTACTTATACTCGAAAGGTTTGTTCTTTTCCCCCTATCCTTTAGACACCGTTATCCTACTATTAGTGAGTAGGTAACCCTATCGTTGGATGTTTGAGGGACATTTGAAGGGACATACAATCATAAAGGCAACATGTAGAGACGCTTTAGCAATTTTTCTTAAGGGACTAGATCATTTACCGAAAGGAAATACTGTAGGGTCATCGGGGACTTATGATCTTTTGATTCAAAGGGTCTTTGCTAAAGCGTCCCTATTCTCGAGGGACATGAGAGTTATTTTCTGAAAGGCAACCAAAGTGGGCGTACCCTAGAGGTGTATATGTGCAATTGTGTTGGTTTTCAGTTATTTTAGTCTCCTGTTAAGTTTGCTAACGCTTTGTTTACAGTCTTTCCATACAAGCCTAATTACTAACAGTTAATATCTTGCAGAAATTTAAAGT